CACTACTATGGCAATTTTCATTTTTTAAAAGCTCATCATACTACGAACAACAATACTTGAAGAGTCCAGAATAGATCCACAATTTGACAATAGTCAATGAAGAGGGTATTCATAAATCAAATGTGCTCTACACATTAAAGAAGTATGTCCTGTGGGATGTAATACTGACCTAATATACAGCATATTTTCTCGCCAGAGGCATTAACCCTCCCACATACTTGAGCACTGGGAGATGGTCCCGCATCTCCTAGCTCAGCAACAGGAAAACCCCTGGTGTGGAAGCGAGAGGCAAACAGTAGTCACATATGGGGAGTAACAGCTCTCAGATAAGAGCTGCAAAAAAACAGGAGGAGCACGGCAAAGTGGTCACTGCAGTGATACTAGAAACAAGCTACTGCTGAATCCAACGAACAGCCTGTGGGAAAGAGACGTCTAGCATAATGTTCCAGAATAAAAACAACCTTGAGAGTGTTAAATGTCACATAATCCACATCATCCCAGGTTCCATAGTATAAAACTTTAGTTAGTTTCTTTCTCTCTGTCGAGCCCTGTCCTGCTTACCGCACCAAATTTCAGGTGGTAAGCTTCCTGATCCTTCAAAACTCAGCTCTGATTCTAATTCTTATTGTAAGGATTCCTGGAATTCACAATGTGCAGTACGCATCACTACTCTATTCTTTAATAATTCTAATATTACCACTTAATATTATCAAATTCCATTTTTAACTCCCAGAAGTTCTGGTCGTTCAGTGGATTAGGCATTTGGTGGCTAAATTAATTGGCATGGTTAACAATCTCCCAGCTCTCCACAGGACAAAGATAAAAAAGCCGTCTGATGACAAGATTGATAGCCCCGGAACTCTCTGCAGAGGCTCTATTCTAACCTACAGCTCTCCCCTGCATTGGATTTAACCTGATGGCAGTGAGTTTGGTTTAGTTTTGGCATTTTTGTTTCCATGCCCTCAGGTAAATAGGAGTAGCACAGAACAAATATTGGTGACATTTTCTGAGAAGCTAATAAACTAGTCACTTACTATCGTTGAATTAAATCCTATAAGAATTCTCCCACTTAAACACATTTAAAATTAACTTCACTTTAGGAAATATTATTTTAAAAGCTTAAAGTCTTGGTGACACTATGTTTAAGGATTCACTGGTCCATGTTAGAGTTATGGATTAATATTCCACCACCACCACCTTCAGAAGCTCACAAGAAGAAAGAGGTATCTGGCTGTGTTTCTTCCAAAACTGAACTATTTGTTCTTTTGGCTGCCTATGGTAATTTCAGTATTCTTGGCCAGGGCCATAATTCCAATTAACTTATTTTTCTTTGGTATTACTTATTCAATCTCCAAGTTTCATGAACTTATAAGGCAATTGAAAATAATATGGGTTGTGTCTGACACACCTTAGTCCTCAAAGTAATGGAATCTTTGCTCCTTAACTCTTTAAAGCGATCATGTGCAGTCAGTTTACCCCATGAATTGCAGCATTTGATCTCTGCTTCCCTGAGTATTGATTGCATATCCAAGCAAGACGAACTTCTCGACAACTTCCAACTTGCTCCTTTTATCATAATGCTACCCATCAGTTCATGTGTGAGGATCTTTGTGTTCTTTACAATGAGCTTCAATCTACACTGAAGGCTGCTGTCCCTGGTCTGCGTCCACACATACTTACAGTCCTTCTCACTTTGTGCAAGTAAGTTTGTGTCCCCTGTATTTCACAGGTTTTTAATATGCTTTCCTCCAATCTTGATAACGAATTCTTTTTCATATAAGCCAGCTTTTCTGATATTTTGTTCAGTAGTAAGTATAGTGGTAGCACATGCCTTTCTGGGTTTTAAACCATGCCTTTCTGGGTTTTAAACCATGCGATGTTTTTTATTCTGTTCTAAGAATTTGTCCGTGGTCCATGTACAGATTCCACATGAGCACAAGGAAGTGTTCTGGAATGTCCATTAACAGTCAGGTACTCGTCTTCCAAATATTTTGGAATACGTGAGTGAATGCTTCTGGTGCTTCATCAGCTGGTTGACATATTTCCATCGATATTCCATCATAATTGGACTCTTACTTTTTGTTAATGCCTTTATTACAGCTTGAACTTCTTCCTTTAGTACCATTAATCTGTTAATGATCTGTTCACCTTGAGTGACTCTGTCCATTATTTATACCAGGGACATAGTTTCCAGCATCACCACAATGAACCAGCCCCACAGTATGATAAATGGACAGACAAATGGTGGAGTCTCTGATTACAGCTGCAAAAATTAAATGGAACCATGGGAAACAGGTCACTGAATTGATGACAAAAATAAGAGACAGTTGACACCAAAAACTGAAATAGTGAGAAAAAGAGGTCTCATAAAATATACCAAAATAAGAGTGGTTGTTTCCAACATAACTTAATCCAAACCATAGAAGGATGGATGCAATTGAATTGTGGTGCTGGAGAATACTGAAAGTACCATGGACTGCTAAAAGGACAAAAAGACCTGTATTGGAAGAAATAAGACCAGAGTGGTCCTTAGAGTCAAGGATGACAAGACTTCATCTTACACATTTGAAGATGTTGTCAAGAGTGACCAGTCCCTGGAGAAGGACATCATGTTTGCTGAAGAGGAGGGGCAGCAAAAAGGAGAAAGGCCCGTGAGTAAATGGACTGACACGGTGGCTGCATCAATGGGCTCCGTCACAGGAACAACTGTGAGGATGGCAAAGCACCGTGCAGTGCTGTGCTCTGCTACGCATAAGGTCGCTATGTGTGGGCGTCGACTCAATGGCTTCGAAGAACAACAGCAATAGAATCCGCATTATCCCAGGTTTCATATAACAACAAATTTTAATAGCTTGCTGTCTCTCTTTGAAACATCTCTTCTGCTTCTTGTTGTTTTGCATGTTTTGAGAGAGGGGGAGATGTCTACTGTGGCAGTCACATAATCTCCTGCCAATCAGGTCATAATCGGTGAGGCCTCTGTGTGGGCATGGCCTTCTCCTGAGGATCCTGGGAACTCCTGTCTTCCTGCCTGGAGGAGGGACACAAATTCATAGACACACCCATATGTGTTAAAGGAAGAGTTTATATGCAAAAGCAATTGAACATTGAGAAAACATCCAAGACCAGTCCAGATCAAGTCCATAAGTACAATATTAAGCCCAAATGTCTGATACCTAACTATAAAACCCTCTTCAGACTCATAAAACATAAGCAATGATGCCAAATGCAGGAAGATCACAGGCCAGTGGATGGGAAGTTTTGTGAATCCAGTGGCATTGTGAGCATCTCAGCGCTGGGAGGGGTCTCCACATTGTTCATCCAGTTCCCAAGTCACAGAATCTATCAGTGTAGTGCCATGTATCTTGTCAGTAGAGCATCTCTCAAGGAGTGAGCAGAGAGAGAGAGTGTCTCCCACTTCCAAAGAGGAAATACAATTCCCAGAATCCTCAGGGAAAGGCCAGGCACACAAAGGCCTCATTGGCTATGCAATGATTGACAGGCTAGACTACACCCCTTCACACATCGTCCTCTTAAATTGACAACAGATTATATAACGCCAGTGTTGAAATGCTTCCACTGCCACTGAATTCACAAGACTTTGTACCCACTGGCCTGGATCTTTCTGCATCCGGCATCATAATATGCGCTGCATGAGTCTAAAGAAGAATTTATGGGCTAGTATCAGATATATGGGCTAATATCGGACTTATGCACTTGATCTGGATTGGCCTGGGATGTTGTGTCAATATACAATTACTCATTTATATTAAGATCTTTCTTATACACATGTGAGTGTCTATGATCTTGTTTCTCTAGTCGACCTGAACTAACACATATACCTCGAGCAATGCACTTTCTTCTGTAACTCTCTGAATGGAATTATATTGAAAGCAATAGCTCAAAAATAAAAGAAGAAACTCATGGTGGTGTAAACTCATATTATAATGGAAGAATAATGCAGAGAAGGGGGACAAGAATAGTTACAATATTCGAAGATCCCAATCAATGTCTTTGAATTATACAAGCATTGTAGAGTTGGTGTATGACTTACAGTAAAGTTCTCAACAGAAAAGATAAAATGAAATATTTTAGAATATTTCATTCTAAATATTTGAGGCAAAGAGAAAGGAAGAAAATTTCACTATCTGAGGGAATCTTCAAATCATGATTGTCTCCCTTCTCCAGGTGTTTTTTGTTCCCCAGTAAAATATAATCAACCTGAACTCTGTTCTTCACAATTTCCATGTCTCACTCTTGACCTGCCTCCTTCCCAAAGCAGTTGCTACAAAGTTTGACTGAATTTTTCTAGACAGTGACCTAATTGTTTCTAATTTTTCTTTGCTATGAGCATATTTTAATGATCATATCTCAATTCAACTCTCAAAACTTCAGAATGTTTCTCTTACTTCTGTCTCTAATTATTCAACCCTTAATTCCTTCCCATTGTTCTGATTTATTGTCTCCAAAATATCTTTTCTATCTGGATTCTTATTACAGAGTTTTCTTGTTTTGTTTTGTGTCTAATCTCTAAATACTAGAATGCAACACTCTGAGAGCAGATCACCTGTATATAACCTTATTTTTCTTCTCTGTCCTGAATGTCTGGGATGAGACCTATTGGAAAAATTTTGATATTGGAATATTAGAATTAAATCATAAAGTTCACTTAAACACATTGACTTAGACTTTGATAAAATTCATATAATTCAATTTATCTTATTAAACTTGCCATTTTCATTAGTAAATTTCTCCTTCCTCATTCTTGGCACTCAATTCTGATTTTATTTTCTCAGTAAGCCTGGGAAGTTTTCATTCAAATACTCTTTCAAGCACCCTGACTCATTGCTTCCCAGTCATGTTTTGTTTTATCATAGTTTCCTGAATAGTTGCAATTCCTTCTATTTTATATCCTCACACTCCATCTTAGTCACTTTTGTCATTTCCAAACACAGTTCTGAAAAAATGCATTGTTTGTGTTTAGTTGTGTGCATTGCTGTGCATTTAAGCTATGAAAATTTTGTTGACAAACATTACTTATGAAACAAGTAGAGGCACATATTTCATTGGAGAACCTAAGATTCAACCAACATATTGTTTTGGCTCAGTTACAATGAAACCATGTTTCACAAGAAAAATTATTAATTCAAAAATAACCACGGAGAACGTTTTAAAAATTAGAACCATTTTTATTGAGAATAAATTAATTTTCAAGAAATCACCAATCAATGCATTAATAACAGAGACCCAGAGATCTAGGCCATAAAGCTAACATTTGGAAATATTTGCAAATATAAAGATGCATTCTGAAAAACAGGAACTTGCAGACCAAGAGCTTTCTCCACAATCTTGCACAGAGGTTCTTGAATCAGAATTATCTTTGATGTCGAATTTCGGGAGCAAATGGTCCTTTGATGGTGATGTTCTAGCAGCAAGAAGAATAGCATCTCCTGTAGCAAAATGGCCTGTAGCCACAGCAGCCAGAGCCATAGCCACATCCATAGCCTGAGCCATAGAGAGAGCCATATCCACAGCCATAGCCTGAACCATAGCCACAGCCATAGCCTGAGCCATAGCCACAGCCATAGCCTGAGCCATAGCCACAGCCATAGCCTGAGCCATA